ACTCCTGTAGCATTTGCTCTGTGATGAAAGAGAGGTGCTAATTCATCTATTTGATTTCATAGTAAGGCAAAGACCTAGTTGTATGAAATAACATTGAAAGTAAGACTTAGAGTTGAACAGGCTGGACTGAGTGGCTCAGCCTGTAATCCCAGCATTTTGGGAGGCCAAGGCCAGTGGATTGCCTGAGCCCGTAGGTTCGAGACCAGCCCAGGCAACTTGGTGAGACAGACCTTGTCTCTACCAAAAAAAAAAAAAAAAAATTAGCCAGGCATGGTAGTGCATGCCAGTAGTTCTGGCTACCTGGAACGCTGAGGTGGAAGGATCGTCGGAGACCAGCAGGTCGACGCTGGGGTGGCCGTGAGTGTGTCACTGCACTCCAGCCTGGGCGACAGAATGAGACTCCAATTCCAAAAAAAAAGAGAGTTGAAAAGATGATACAATCTGGAGATCACCGTGGAAAAATTGATAATTAATAGAATCCTGGGGAGTCTTGAAGAGATGTGGGAGGGTAAAGAACAGGGTAGATGTAAGAAAAAGAAATTAATTTACATATACTAAGTTTTTACTCATTGTTAGTTACCTATGTAATTTAATTTAATTCATGGTAATAACCCTGAACAGTAGACAATGCTATCCCTATTTCATAGATAAGGCAGGTAAGATAAGAGATTAAGCAACCTCCAAGGTTGTGTAGCTACAAAGTGGTAACCAGATCAGAATGACGATAAAATATCCTTCCTTTATATCACAGCTATCCTGCCTTTCCCATAAAGTTCCCAGAGCTTCACTGCTGCTGGGTGCAGCTTAGCACCACCCACACTTTATTTTCTCCTAATTGCTATGATCGTATGTAGAAATCTCATTTAGCAGTTAAGAGTGATATAACTATAATTCTATTTCTATAACTATAATTTTATTTCTAATCTCATGTCTATTTAAAACATCTATCAATGAAAATAGTATCACATTTATTGATGAGGCTAGATAATGAACTGGATGAATGAGTCCTTTTGAGTTCCTCTTGCCAAATGGCATGAATACATTGTAAGCAGATTTCGTGGAGAAAGCATACTTTTGAATTTTTCTTTGGTGTGCCCGCTGTTGGTTCCATTTGGAATCTAGAAATGACTGCTGTCTGGGGTAAAAGGCAGTTTGCTCTTGCTGCCTCCTGTAGATTGCTTGGCCTGGCAGTTTGTCACTCTCCTGGGCAAGTATCCAGCTTGTGGTAGTGAGGTGGTTTTGTGGCAGAACTCCACAATTAACCACAAGTTCAGTGTCAACGGTAGGCTGCCACCGTCGTGGCTGTGATCCTTCAGATCCGCTGGGATAGCCAGAGCTGAAGAAACTACTGCTTGTCTAAGGAGGGAACAAGAAAACTTGGAAAGAGTCTGCATTGCTGTTTATTGTTCAAGGTTTCAGGTTTTCGGTTTAAAACAAAAAATTCAGGAAATTTCAGGCTAATGGTTATAGATTTAATCTTTTTACCATTTGTCATATTTTAAAGTATAACAATGAGGTTGTATTATAGACATAATTGTTGCTCTGAAACCAGAGACTGAAAAAGGAAAATTCTTAAAGTACTAGAATATATGCTTTCATAGCAGAATAATTCAGGCACCATCACTTGAATTAAAATTAAAAATTACCCACACATCTCTTAAACATTTACTTTATGTTAAAAATTAATTCAAACATAAATATATGCATATATTTTTGGTAAATCTAAGAGAAAGGGTTCTTTTACTGATTTGCGCAAAAGAATGCTAAGAAAAATATTTTTCAATAATAATATGGAAACTTTTTTCTGTTATGTCCTATTTAAAGGGTTTTCTATTAAAATTCGCTAACAAAGCAAAACGTCAGCGAATATACAACAAAAATCTGATTTATTAAAATTATTTTGAGAAACATAAACACGCTTGAAAAATTCTGAGGACTTTTTGTAGGCTGAATCCTGTATTAGTCACGGAGACCGAGCTAAGGTTGAATTAGACAGAACCCTTGTGTTTGAAGAACATATGGCAGAGGTAGCCATGTAAATAAACACATATGATAACAGAAATAAACTTTTATATAACAAATAGTAACAATAAACTCCAGTTCCATATTAGGGCCACACCATCCCTCTAGCCGCCCCCATACCTTACACTTCAGCCACAGAATGCTGGAGTTATCCAAATATACTATGGTTGCATTCCTCCAGATTTTTGCTTGCTTCCTTTGCCCAGATTATTTTTTCTTCTTATTTTTACTTTATTAGATAACCTTTATTCACCTTTCAATACTGAGGCCAGAAGTCACTTTCTCTGACTCCCCTAGAGCATTACTCCTTACCTGCTACTCCCATTAGAGTCTGGGTTAGGGGCCCCTCCTCTGAGCCCATTACCTCTATATCACAGCTATTACACTTGGTACTCTCCTAGTTTCCACTAGACTAAGGGGCCACATTCTCATCATTGTATCTTTGTCATCTAGGACAGTGTCCAGCACAATACCAGGCACATAATAAATGCTGTCATTAAGGGAGATAGATTAAATGTTGGTGGAGTGGGGTGGTACATACGAGTAAAAGAAGTGAAGTAAAAGAAGTGAAGGAATTAAATATAGAGATGAAAGAGAGGCATCAGAGGAGAGGGAAAAGAGATCAGAAGACAGCCACCTGGACAGACACTGGAGAGAGAAAGAATGAATACAGCAAGGGAGAGAACTGGAACTGGTAGAGAAGGAAAAACAAACCATGAGTACAAGCTGAGACAACCACACAGTAGAGAGACTCTAGAAAAATGATTCTCTTCTTCTTGAATATCCAGGTACCCTTGTTCTCCATTTTTACAAAACAGAGATAGGGTCTCACTTTGTTGCTTAGGCTAGAGTGCAGTGGTGTGATCACAGCTCACTGCAGCCTTGAATTCCTGGCCTTAAGTAATCCTCCTGTCTCAGCCTCTTGAGTAGATGGGACTACAGGTGTACCACGCTTAGCTAATTTTTTTTTTTGGTAGAGATAGGGCATCTTACTATATTGTCCAGGATGGTCTTGAACTCCTGATCTCAAGTGATCCTCCTGCCTTGGCCTCCCAGAGTGCTGGGAATTCAGGTGTGAGCCCCATGCCTGGCCTTTATATTGATTCTCTTGTGCTATTTAATTGTCTATGTGCATATGCATTAAACTCCCAAATGAAACTGTAGCTCTGAGGAAGCTCTGAAGGAAGTTTCTTTTTTCTTGAGTCAGTCTTACTCTGTTGCCCAGGCTGGAGTGCAGCGGCACACTCATGGCCACCCCAGGGTTGACTTGCTGAGTTCAGACTGATCCTTCTGCCCTAACCTTCCAAGTAGCCAGAACTACCATGCTACTTGCCCAGCTAAATTTTTGATATATTAGAGTGACGAGGTCTTGTCATGTTGCCCAGGCTAGTCTCGAACCCCTGGGCTCAGGCAATCCTCTTGCCTCAGCCTACCAAAGTGCTGAGATTACAGGCTTGAGCCACCGTGCCCGGGCTGAAGCATCTTTTATAGTTGTTTAATGTTCTAAATAGCATTGAGCACAAAGCTCTGCATGCAGTGGGCATTCAATAAATACTTGAGATGAACAAAGGGAGTAAGTCAAAGTGAGGCTCAGTTTATGAGATGAGTATTAGCTGGAAGGAAAATAGGAATCATTAACACACTTGGGCAATAGAGTTGCCACTGCACACTGAAGACAGAATGATCCTTTCTAGACTAGAGAAAACCTAGTCTGTTTTTAATTTTTAAATATGTTTGTAAATGTTAATTCTTTCATTCTTTCAAAACCTTATCAGTTTTTTAATGTATCTTAAGGGACGGCTACTAGTTTTATAAATCTGGTATCTTAAGGGATGGCTACTAGTTTTATAAAACTGGAATCTCAATGACACTGGTTAATTTATTGCCTATTTGTGAAGGTTTGCTTAATATTTAAAATTTATCGGACTGCTTTATATCTTTATCTTGATAAATTAGAAAAGAGAAATACACAGGGGGTTGCATTGCCTCAGAATGACTTTGAGAGCTGGGTGGTAAGTACCAGGACCTCAAGTCATGGATCATCAAAGCAGGAGAAGGAAAACATCTACTGGAAAGTGGCGAGATCACAGATCAAGATGTGAGGGAAGGCAGTCAGGTAAAATGAGGCCAGGGCAGAGTGCTAAGAAGAGTCAAAGGGACAGTATGACTTTAGGTCTTTTTTCACAAACAGATATTGGTCATAAATTCTTGAACTTAAAGATAAGAGTTAAGTAATTCTATTGGTTGTTTAAATTTGGCAGGAGACTAATTAAATAATTTGACCTTTAAGAAATGCAGCCCAGTAATAATCTTTGGCAAAGACTGTAAACAGAGAAGGGAGTTGCTATAAACATAGCTAGCTCATTCTTTTTGTGCATATTTTTAGTTAAGTAAACTTCTGATGGTCTTTGGTCACGTCCTTGCATTTTATTTTAGAATCCTCTCAGGTGCTGGGTTGGTGTTCAGAGGGATGCACTCCACCTACGGGTTACTGAAAGAGTTGGGCTTTTAGCCTCATAAAAACCTTAATGACAGCTGAAAGATGGCTAAAGAATCGGGAAGTAAAGAAATTTTATGAAGAGGTCTTTGAATTTTATTTTCCAGAAAACAGTCCTTTGTGATACAAATCCCTTTATTTTTACTTGTCAACCCTAAGAGTTTGGGTTAGTTTGGTGATACAAATTTCAAAGGTTGTTCTTGGCAATCTGAAAGATGAATCCTAAGGATGCTTATATATTTTTGGCATACAGAAATCAGAGCATTTTAAGACCAGAAGGGATTTCAAAGGCCGTGTAAATTAAATCACTTCATTTTACATTTAGGAAAACAAGGCTTGTAAAAGTTTAGTCTGGGCCCAGACTAAAACTCACAAAACTAGATTTCTAGTTCACTAGTGTGTCCATTACCATGCCTACCCTACCTCAGATGACAACCAAAGATTTTAAAACACATACACACACATTAATCTGAATTTGTTCTAATTTTCAAATAAATTTATTTCCTACAGAATTTACAATGGACATTTCAGTAATGCTGGTGCAGTTTTGCTGTATAAGCTCAAAAGGTATCCGTTGTTTCCTACTTTAATCTGTAGCTGGTGGTGATGAGTTCTATGCACATCATTTAAAAAATGTATTTGCTGCGTTTTGTTGAAATGAGCATTTTTTTAAAAATTGTGCTTTCAATTGTCATGGTGGTTGGAACACCTGATGGGTTCTTATCTTTTAGGACAAGCCTGTGGATAAACAATTAGAAAACTCCTAAGTATTTTTCCTTTATCCAATATACAGAAGAGGAAGGGGATTTCTGGACTTTTTCCATCTTGGTCAAACTCTTGTGCTAATTTCTCAGTGATTTCTGTTACGCACGTGAGCTATGACCATACACGAAAATGGTTTGTTTTAGGTCATGGCTGTGGGTAGAGATTAATAGGTGAAAAATGGGCCTGTTTGTGGGATTTACCACACAGTAAGGTTTCTCATCTCCCCGGAAAAATGTGGAATTAGCTCTCTGAGAAATTCAGGCCTGTCATGAGGTTGAAGAGAGACTTTCGGCAGAGGGAAACAGTTATGATTGGTTAGAGTCTAGATCAGACCCTTTGGTATAGCAAAACTCTTTTCTTCCCACTTTCACCGGTACGTCACAGACAGCATTCTATCTGGCTTCTTTCAAGGCCAACTGATTCAAACTGGGGAGTGGCCGTGGAGAGGGCTTTTAGCCTTCTCACCTCTTCCTCCCCTTAAAAAGCCTTCGATTTGGAGAGAACACTTGCGACAGCAAATTATCTGTGCTGTATTGGAGGGGACACATTATGTGAACCGGCGGGTAGGAATGGCAGGGGTGCAAAGAGAAGGATGGGACTTAGTTCCTCACCTGTGAAGGTGGTTCTTGAGCAAGGTTTGGCTGCTTCCAGAGTGCGCTCCACGTGCTCACTCCTCGCTAAGAGTCACTGCAAGGATCCCGGGCCTGCTGCGTGGCCCAAGAATCCACGTCGCTTTAGAGGCTTGACCTCCTCACAGGGATGAGGGTTTCTGCGCCAGGTCCTTGGTGGTGGCTGGCTCTCACCTGGTCGCAGCTGTGCGCACACAGTCGAAGGACGCCCCCCTCAACCGGGCTGAGGTTAGAGGCGGGCGCCCTCTCCCCCTCCCAGCCTCAGCTCGGCATCCTTACTGAGATGCCCTCTTTGGGGACCACACATGCCACGCCCTCTTTCCCCACGACCCCAGTCGTGACTTGTCGGAGCCTGGCGGGAGGTCTGTGACTTACCCCCGCGGGAACTTGCGCGCCTGGGGTGCCGGGATGGCGGGCTGGCACCTTCCATCG